AAGCTGATCTGATAGGGCTTAGGATCTGGAGTTCAGAGTATTTAGAGTTTAAGGGTTTAGGGCTTGGGATCTAGGGTTTAGACCTGGGGTTTCTGAGGAGGAAGCTTTCCTACCCTACCCTATGCCATATAAACCCTAAACCCTAAACCGTCATGCATTTTCCTGCGCTCGAAGCCTAGACCTGCTCAAGTATGACAGGAGAAGTCCCCATTGAAAAAGGAACTTCGAATGGCGCTCAGAAAGTATGCCGCTTGGCATGCGCGGGCTTTTTCGGCTGGGCCGTTCTGTGAGGTGTGGTGTAAGGCGTTCCATTGGGGCTGACGACTCTGATCTCAGTGGTGTCTGGAATATTGTTGCTGAACTTGGGTAGAGGGTTTAGGGTATCTGAATACTCTCGCGGCCGAGGTTAGGCGTGGCTTTTGACCTTCATGATGTGTTCCTGCAGGATCCGATGGTGAACCGGCACGTCATGTTCTATGAGGCCGCAGCTTTTCAGTGCTTGTTTCAAGATTTCGCCAACCCCTAAACCCTAAACCCCCAAACCCTTAAACCCCTAAACCCCTCAACCCCTCAACCCCTAAACCCCAAGCCCACTTTCCGGTTAAGGGTGTTCGACTCGTCCCTTTATTGAGGTTTCCGATAACAACGGGAACCTTATTTTCGGGTCCTTTCATCAGGATCCTACTATTTTAGGGTACAAAATCAGGGTCCCCTACTTTCGGCAACCCCCATAGAATCTCAGCGGATACGCCTTTGGTGCCCCTAGTTCCTTGGGATACCCCCGAAACCCAAACCCTAAGCCCTAAACCCTAAACCCTAAACCCCACCTCGCACCTCGAGCCGCCAGAAACCTGCCGACCCGAAGCCCGTGCCACAAGCTCGAAACGCTAACATCGAAGCCTCGACATACAACGGTAAGCTTCAACAGTTCTATAACGGTTCCTAAAGAAAGGGTACCTAAGGGTTCGCTTAAGGGTTCTATCGAGGTTTAAGGGTATCGAAGCCTCAAGGCAAGCAATGGGCTGTTGGGGTGTGTTATAGTAGGCTTGTTTCTTGACTAGGAGGGGCATAATATTTGCTTCTTCAGACACGTCCACTAAACCCTTTTAAAACTATTGTAAGCCCTCGCAAACGCATCAGGACCCCGTAAGAACGCCGAACAACAAGTAGGTCTACAAAGCTTGTTAAAAAAACGCAAAGACACCTTTATCAAACACCCTAAGAGACCCGAAGGAACTCGAGACAACCGCTTGGAGGAAACGTAGAAGTGAGATCCAAAAACGCTGAAGCCCCATACCCAGAGAGCCGAATACTTAAGGCCCCTATAATTTCAGGTAAAAGCCTTCATCATTAGGGGGCATGGGGCTCTCTGGGTAGCCCTAATCCCTACTTTGCCTCTTTCACAGGCCGCCCTCTCGAAACCGCGGCGAGGAAAGATGCGCCGGCCCCTGGCTGGAGCCCTGGTGTGACGTTGCAGGATTTCTGGGTTTTTCGATTAGGGTTTGGCCTTCTATATGTTTTATAGGCTTTCCTATCAGCAGACTTTTCGGGTTTATAGGAGTTTACGGTTTAGGGTTCTTATCGATAGCAGTTTCGGGGATTTGCGGCGCCGCCTAAGGGCGTTGTAAACCCTAAACCCTAAACCCTAAACCCTAAACCCTAAACCCTAAACCCTAAACCCTAAAGGGCCTCTCTTTCGGTGGGGAAATAGAACTCTGACCTTCCCCGCGGTGCGACCGGACACCTCAGCTAGGCAAGTAGAAGCTAAACCCTAAACCCTAAACCCTAAACCCTAAACCCTAAACCCTAAACCCTGAACCCTAAACCCTAAACCCTAAACCCTAAACCCTAAATCCAAGAACCGCTACCCTTGAATTGTCTGAAATCCGCCAATGGCACCCCTGAGCCCAACACCTTTTTCGGGGTTTGCGGGCGTCGCCGCAACCCAAGGACCTACATAGGTTGGGGCTCTTGTGAACCTTCTGTAACTTTTTATAGAGTCATGTAATAAGCGGGTCTTATGGGCAGTATGTTGGGTGCAGACTTCTTCTGGGCCATATGACTGAATGATACAGAAGCCTGAAGAAGTAGCCCTTATAGTCCTTCAACTATAGCAGGCCCTAAGCCCGAAATCCTAAACCCTCAGCCCTAAGCCCTAAGCCCCTAAGCCCCTAAACCCCTAACCCCCTAAACCCCTAAACCCCTTAACCTTACACCCTAAACCCTAAACCCCAAAACCCAATTCAGGCCCCATTCTAATTGCTAGGGCCCCTGTAGTCTATCATAGCATAGTATATAATAGTATATGGGAAGCTCTCTAAATTCGGATCCCTTTTTGGATCCCCAATATCGTACGGCACCCTTATGAAAAGGACCCCCAAAAGGGACCCTAATTTAGAGAACTACCCACTGATATAGTATATTGTTATAGCTAGATTGTTGGACTGCCGGCCGGGAGTCCCAAAAACGTTGACAACATGCGCAAGCAAACTGGCTGTAGCGTCTAGGGTTTGTAAATAGGGTTTAGGGTTTAGGGCTTCCTCAGAGATCGATGAAATCATACTGCCGGAGGCACTTCAGAGAGACCTCGTTCAAAAAAAGGTTTCAGGAAGCCCAGCGCACACCAGGATCAGCCTTAAACGCGAAAGCCCTAAACCGTAACCCGACAAGGAACGATGCCAAGGAAACTGCAAGCACATGCCTCTGAAATACGCGACGTGAAGCCTTCTACCTGGTCGCAGAGAACCGAGTCAATTGGTTAAACACGTTACACCAACAGAAAACTACACTTGCAATATCCCCCGGCCAACTGAGTAGGGATGTGGAAGTGCACAGGCTTGGAGCTCAGAGTGATTGTGCTGCCAAAAAATATCCCCAAGTACTTGTAGTATCAACTTAGTATTAGCTACTACCTAGCTGCTAGCTTTGGCCCCATATGCACCACATCCTAAACGCTGAACCTTGATTCTTGACATTTTTCAAGGCCTGGGCGCGCTGGACGGGAAGGGGCATCGAGGACTTGGCATCGGACTGAGCAGTCGAACAGGGATGTCGGTGTGGATGAGCACAGTCAGCAATGCAGGGACTTTAATCAAAGGAAGATTTAAAGAAACCCTTGAAGGAACCCTTACAAAGGGGATAGCATTGCCGAGCCATGCCGGACTTGACACGCCTTGGTTCCTTACTATTACAACTATAGTATGATGGGCCCCAAAACCCTATTCTAATTATTAAGGCCCTTACACCCTAAACCCTTATTGAGCACTTATAGTAGCCCTTATAAAACCCTGTAAGGAACCCTTAACCCTTATGGTAGCCCTTATAGAACCCTTTAAGGAACCCTAAACCCTTATGGTAGCCCTTATAGAACCCTTTAAGGAACCCTAAACCCTTATAGCAGCCCGTATAGAACCCTTTAAAGAACCCTAAACCCCTTATGGTAGCCCTTATAGAGCCCTTTAAAGAACCCTAAACCCTTATGGTAGCCCTTATAGAACCCTTTAAAGAACCCCAAACCCCTATAGCCCTAAACCCTAAACCCTAAACCCTAAACCCTAAACCCTAAACCCTTATAGAACCCTTCAA